ACACACCCAATTCTCTGGGATGATCACTTCACCCCTCCCCCCCACCGCGTGGCTAACAGCGGGGAATATTTCTGTTCAGCAGAGCAGGAAGGGGCACCTCTGAATGTCCCCTTAATAAAATTGCCCCATTTCAACCAGGTGACCGTGAATGATATCACTCTCCTGAGGATAACAAAGAGCGATAAGGAATGGATGTTGTCTGCATGCCAGCAAACACCGGGACCATACGCTGCCATGCTTTGTTATGCAATGATTCCAGACTACGTGCTACTGGCCTGGAGTGGTAAAGTGTCCTACCATGGCGGACGGGATAAGGCAGCCCTCCCCAGAAACCTTTTGCAAAGGCTTTGGGAGTACATGAAGGAGAGCTTTCTGGAGATGTCCCTGGAGGATTTCCGCTCCATCCCCATACACGTTAACAGACTTTTCCAGTAGCTGTACTGGCCGCGATTGCCAGGGCAAATTAATCATTAATCATTAAATACGCTTGCTTTTAAACCATGTGTAATATTTACAAAGGTACACTCACCAGAGGTCCCCTGTGTGCCCCCAGGGTCTTGGGTGAGTTCGGGGGTTACTGGTTCCAGGTTCAGGGTGATAAACATATCCTGGCTGTTGGGGAAACCGGTTTCTCCGCTTCCTTGCTGCTGTGAGCTATTTACATTATCTTCATCCTCATCTTCCTCGTACCCCGAACCCGCTTCCCTGTGTGTTTCTCCAGTGAGGGACTCATAGCACACGGTTGGGGTAGTGGTGGCTGCACCCCCTAGAATGGCATGCAGCTCCGCGTAGAAGCGGCATGTTTGCGGCTCAGCACCGGACCTTCCGTTTGCTTCTCTGGCTTTGTGGTAGGCTTGCCTTAGCTCCTTAATTTTCATGCAGCACTGCTGTGCGTCCCTGTTATGGCCTCTGTCCTTCATGGCCTTGGAGACCTTTTCTAATATTTTGCCATTTCGTTTACTGCTTCGGAGTTCAGCCAGCACTGATTCATCTCCCCATATGGCGAGCAGATCCCGTACCTCCCGTTCTGTCCATGCTGGAGCTCTTTTGCGATCCTGGGACTCCATCACGGTTACCTGTGCTGATGAGCTCTGCGTGGTCACCTGTGCTCTCCACGCTCAGCAAACAGGAAATGAAATTCAAACGTTCGCGGGGCTTTTCCTGTCTACCTGGCCAGTGCATCTGAGCTGAGAGTGCTGTCCAGAGCGGTCACAATGAAGCACTGTGGGATAGCTCCCGGAGGCCAATAACGTCGAATTCCGTCCACACTAAGCCAATTCCGACCCACTAAGGCCGATTTTACCGCTAATCCCCTCGTCGGAGGTGGAGTAAAGAAACCGGTTTAAAGTGCCCTTTAAGTCGAAAGAAAGGGCTTCGTCGTGTGAACGTGTCCAGGCTTAATTCGATTTAACGCGGCTAAAGTCGACCTAAACTCGTAGTGTAGACCAGGCCTAAGAGTCAAAAACTGATGTTTGTTGCCACTACAGGAAAAAAAAAAAAAAAAAACACCCATGTCCTGGTGAAGTGCAGAACCTCAGACTCCTTAGTCCATGAGGGACGGAGTGGAAAAAATGGAATGTGATCATGTAATTCAAAATGGTATTATAATGGATATTCACAAGGAGGGCCAAATTAAGGTAGCAAGGGAAACCTTAATTCTGACATTTCCCAACTTCTGAGTGCTTGACTCTGAAACCTCAATAATGTTCTTTTAACATAGTTGGTTTTTTGTGTGTGTATGTAATAACAGCTAAAGATTTGCTTTTTTGCTTCTCTTTCCCATTCCCTGTAAGAGCCCTTAACTGAATATAAGCAGCACGGCCTGTTGGAGCTCTAAGGAGAATACGATGGAATGTTGTAGTTGAATAACATCAGTCAATGAGAATGCCACACATCCAAAAGACGGCTTCAGATTCTGTCAAATTTGTCAGAGAGAAAGAAATTGCCAAGTGCAAGCAGTACATAGTACAGACCCCTCGTGCTTATTAAGGTTAGATGATATCAGCAACTAATAAGCATCCGATGCTCTGAAGCACTGATTTTGACAAGTCATCTCAAACATCTTGCATGACAGCAGGGAATTCCAATAGACTAGCAAAGTCTTACCAATGCAACTGTTACATCAGGATGTTTGCTCCTCCCTAAAGCCTAATTCTCCCATTCCCACAAAAAAATCTCATATTAAAAAAGAGATACTGGACACTGGTAAGCCAGAAGCATGACTTATTTCACAGGTGTGTTGTGAGGCTTAATTTATGTCTGTAAACCCTTTGTGTTGTGCCTCTCCTCTATTGTAAGAGGCTCTCAGTATTATCAATAAGGTCCTCTCTACACTAGCAAGACTTAGCCAGTATAGCTATATCAGTAAACCCCCGTATTGGAAAGACAGTCAGCATAACTATGTTTACACTAGGGTTTTTGCTGGCATAGCTGTGTTGGTTAGGGTTTGATTTTTTCACACTCCTAACTGACATAGCTATGCTGGCAAAACTTTTAGATGTAGATCAAAGCTAAGTGCTGTGTTGCTTGCAAACACCCGATTAGGTTTGGAAGGATTCAGTTTGTATCAGTAAATGTAGATAAAACATTGATTTCACTGTACATACACATACAAACTGACAAAAAATATTTCCACTGATAATCATCAAAATGTACAGATAGACAACGTAACAAAAATTATTCTTGAGAATTTATTAGTTTGATTTCAGGCTATTTACTTTATACACTTTGACATATGATGTCAACAAATTGCATTTTAATGGTTATGAACCCTTTAACTTTTTGACTCTCAACATCGACTGTCATTCAATAATTATTGTCTGACCCCTCCTAATTTCCTACAGCTGTGAAAATTTAAAATTGATAAAAATCTAAAAATGCTTAAAAGTAAACACTAACATTATCAGTCAAAATTATAAAACAAATCCAAATTGAATTCTGCCAAGCCTACGTATGATGAACATGTAGTGCTTCCACACGCCCAACTCTCTGCATGTTTGTTCAATTTATGCGAACCAAACAAGAACCTTGTCAGAGGTAGCCCGAGCTCTGGAGTGGTTTAAGTAGGATCTTCCCAGCACTACAGACAGTTCTATTTGGTTTTGGCAGTGAAATCAGAAGGATCATAAGAATGAAGATAATGCATTTGTCAAGTAAGTGCTGCCAACTGTAATTGCGCATGTCTCCTTTAACAAAGAATACAGAATACTGACAGTAGTAAATGATTGATTATATATGATTTATACAGCTGGCAGGGACATTCATTCTTGTACAAGGATCTAGTTCATTCATGGTATAGTGCAAGAATCATATTCAGCTTTGCATTGGTCCCAACTATGCCCTCCAAAGCCGCTAAGTATTTTTTTCTATCCCAGCTTACCCTCCACACTCCCCCCAAGAAATTTAAAACACTAGACAACATCCAATTGTATTTGCTTCCCGTAGAAAGGCAGAGCAAGGTGCCTCCCACACCAGGCTTCCCAGTGTCTTGGGTTGCCATCTCTCCCCTTCTCCTAGTCATTTCTAGCATCATTCTGTGCTGGTTTGGCAGGCCTACAGCCATCAGCAGTAAAGCATTTACATTCTGCTTTTCCCCATGATCGTCTTGCTAGAAGCATAAACCAAATCATATCACCTGAGGGCTTGTTAATGGAAGGGAAGGAAGCAAGAACATCTCACAGCATTTCTAATCTTCCCAGAGAAAAAGGAGAAAGAGAGACACAAAGATGAAACCAACATATTAAACCTTCCAGCTCATGCCTGCAATCAAAGGACCACTTCTGCACATGGAAAGCAGTCAGTCAAAGCCCTTCCCATGGCAACAAGGTAACACACAAATTCTTGAGAACTTAGCCAGCTTTAACCTCTAACCATTGTCCCACATCTGCACTGAGATTCCACCAGACTTCACTGCAGCTGCAACCTGACAGAAATAAGTCCCAATGCTCCAGTTCCAAATAGCCACTTTTTTTCCCAAATTTAAACACTCCTGGTCTCCCACATCCCAGGGAGTCTTTTCTCCAACAGAGATTTCCGTATTCCTTCTGGAAAGGACCCTCACCACATCTGTCAGCAGAAGCATAGGGTATTCTAGTACCCACAGCACCAAAGTTATGCACCACAATTTAGCACTAGGGCAGAGATGTATTTCACATCTGTGACAGATTACAAATTAGCTAAGTATTTCCCCATGCACCCAGTCAGCTCAGGCCCCCGCATGAGACAGTTTGAATCTAGAATCTCAGAGCTCTGATTTCAAAGACTGATGCTACTACAGTTCAGGTAAGTAAATGATCTTACAATAAAGGAAAGTTGTTTTCCACATGAAGAAAGGTTTCATCCATTATCGCAGCTTAGACAGGTGTATCCTGTTGCCTTCACTGGAAAAATCAAGCTAAACCGTCACTAAAACAAAACTAAAAATTAATCCCTCATCTACTCTATTATCTGAGCAAATATAAAGTTATTAATAGCAAGTAATTCAATACTGGTGATGCCGTTTTTACCATAAGAATTCTGTATAATCCACAACACAAATACCAGACCTACTCAATATAATACTGTATCACACCTGAAATATTCACTAGGTGTGTATGACAGTGCAGATTAATTTACAGCTGCTACTCCTACCCTAACCTCATCTCAGAAATTAGTCTCTAAAACATACTTGACTGTACAGTAGGGATTGAGGAGGACACTGGCCCAAGGTTTGGGACCTGCTAGAGTCACTCCTGGACTAGTGTAAAAATAAATAAATAAATAAATATAACAGAGTTCAAACCAATGTAAGTCTGGCATAGTTAAGTATGATAACTAGTGAACTAGCAGGGGTAGAGATAAATGCTTTATCCCACTGGAAAGATGAGCATTCCCACTTTCACTCAGAAAGTATTTCCTTGCCTTGGTAGGATGCAAGATACTGGACCTTTAAAAAAAAAAAAAAAAAAAAAAAGCCACCTGATTCTAATTTCTATCTTGTTTTCCCTCCCCTCCCAACCTACCTGAATTCTGAATGTTAGTGGGTATCCTTAAGCTTCTAGAGCTGGAGATTACCACTTTCTACCATGTGAAAGTTTGGAATCTTAGCTCTCTTTCAAATGGCACACAGCTGGCATATCATCCTCAGTCTGTGGAATAGGCTGAATTACACTTTTAATTTGGAGCTGGGAGCTTTGTCTCCGAAGCGAGAGCCATGTACTACCCTCAATCCCCAGACGCACTCCTACTGATATCAAAGAAGGTTTGCGCAAAGATCAAGGATAGCATATGGACATTTGGTAGAAACTGTATTTTAACTAGTGAAGTTAATGATTGCCTGCAGCTCATTCAGTGGGAAAACATGATGCTGTACACTTTCAGAACCACAGCTGTCCTTGCCCTGTGTTTCTGTGTGTGTCTCTTCCTTTCTTCTCCCTGCACATATCCCCGTTTTGGCCTCTCTTCAGTCTGACTGTTTGCTCTGTTTCTTTCCCGGGATGGAGATGACCTGAAATGTTATGGAGTCCAACTCCTAGTCGTCCCTGCAGCCACTTGTCATTGCCTCCCTCTGAGCTTCACTTTAGGCCTCTCTCCATTTGTCAGACACCAAACAGCGAGTGCATCTTCTTCTCTCCCCTTCCCAATTCTGAGTTGGAGCAGCAACATTTTTCTTTTGTTCCCTTTCTAGGCCTTTATCAGACCAGCTATCCACTTCTTCTACAGCTATTCTGTGTCTCTCACCCACCTTCTAGCTCTTTTGCACTAAATAAGAAAGCAGCTGGCTGGGGGTGCAGAGGAGAGGCAGTTATATGCTGATGCTCAGTGGAGCCATTTGTCTGGTTAATTCCGATAACAAACAAGACGCTGGCATGCTAACTAGTCATGCGACTCCCAAGCGATTGGCGTCCAACTTCTTAGAGGAACAAGTGGCGTTCAGCCACCAGAGATTGAGCAACAGGTCTGTGATGCCCTTAGATGTCTAGGGCTGCACATGTCGACAGGCACAAGTAACATGTTGAATACCATTCGTGATGGGGATCGGAGATTGCAACTATTCACCATGAACAAGGAATGCCCAGTAAGTGTGGGTCATATGCTCACGTTGATTAAGTCCCTTAAAAAAATAAAAAAAGCCTTGACTGGCCAGAGGAGAAACCTGAAAGACTGTTTTTTGCCCTCCCTGTACCTCTGGAGCAAGAGGTAAAAAGTAAAGAAATTCAAAGATATGACTGCCACAGCCACCAGAACTCAAGTGCCCAACGTATAACCCTGAAGTGAGGCGAGGGAAGGATCCTGACAGCATGCTGAGAGTGACTAATGCCCCTATTACTGAGAATGCATTTTACATGAAAGCATGCTCGCACATGACAGGCAGCCTGCCGAAGTGGTGCCAGGTTCACCTCTACTTGTTGTTTCACTGGTCACAGCCTTGATAGTGGGATGGGTCAAGGCTGCAAGACTCCAGCAGGAAAGATGTTCAAAGTGCTGGTTTTGATCCACAACGTCTTTATGGTTTGTGTCCTGGCTAACTTTGAGACTATATTTCCCTTCAAACTCTTACTGAACAGTTATGATCAGTGAGGTCTCTGGAGTGGGTAGTGCCCAGATTTAGCCATCTGGGAGCAAATATTTCTCAATGAGTGGTGCCTGACTCCAGAACTCACTCTTCCCCACCCCACACTTTGTCCAATAGAGGTCAGGTTCGCTGACCTTCAGAGCACATTACAGTGTGTCTATTTATTCAAGCTATATGTGGCAGGGCAGGGAGAAGGGTGAAATAAATAATTAAATTGGAAGACGTATTTTTTGGGGGTGGGAGGAGGCGAAGGAAAGGAGTTCTTTCAGCAGCCCCAACATTTTGTAAGTATAGATAATTTCAGGAATAGATTTTATGCTTTTGTTTTATATGCACTTAGATATATTTATGGTAAGGAAATGATATAATCTGGAAAAAAAATACAGTAATAAAGACAAACTAAACGTGCACAAGGGGGCAGTTACATAACCATAACTCAGAATTTCCTGAATTTTAAATAATGTTTGAAAGCTCAACCATAACGCATTAACAAATATTTATATTAAAAAAAACCCCAAAACATAAGGAACAAAACTCTATGAACAGGTGATCAGTCAGTTTGTCTGGGAACGTGTTTCTGCAATCAAAGTCATTTGTCTGAATGTGCAATGAAGGATTCAAATGAAGCTGTATGTATTTTAACATGCAGATCACCAGATACACACAAAGACTGCATGCAGGTCTTTACTGCTATCTATGGCCTTTACAACAAAACAGTCTTCACTGAAGACAAAATGCACTGCCAATCTGAAAATAAGCCTCTTTTGGTTACCAAAAAGTAACATGTTTAAAAAAAAAAAAAAAATCTCCTCACCACTGAAATTCCAGTTTTTCCTACTGTGATGAAACCACAATACTCAGAAGCAATGTTGCCATTTTTTTCACACATGGGGGGGGGGAGGGAGGAAGGGGGGGAGAGAGAATCACCTTTGGGATAGAAACGAGCCTGAAAAACATCACCTGAAAACTAAATTTGTGATGTGTGTCTGTTTTTATGTGCTTTACATGAAAATGCCTCCTCAATCAGAACTTTAACATCCCTAGTGCAACATTGTAATAAAAGAAGAATTGTTTCTAAATAAAATATTTTCAAAAGCTTTTCCTGAAGCATCCACAGGTCTTTAAAAACAGCCCGCTGAGGATCACAACGGTGTGATGGGAGGTACAATATTCCCCTTCTCTAGCAGCATTTGCCAGAGACTGGGTCTCTCACATGGAAGTACAGAAAGAATATTACTAAGTAACCAGGCAAGCCCACTGTATGACAATCTATAACATGTACTTGCAATATCTGACACAGTACTAAATTCCATAGCTCTGAGATTTGCAATGTGAAGAAAGAATTAGTGCCTGGTGAATTTCATCTCATTCAAGTGGATGCCTTTATTTTTTTTGGTGATGATGAACTTAAAGTTTGTATTGTTGTTTTCATTACCCCTTTTAAAATAATCTCCTGCAGAAAGATCTTCCAGGAGATTCTAAGCGACAGCTGCAGCATCTCAGCCATCTGTTTCATTTATATTTGCTAATGCAGCTCCTGCTGTTTTCAACTGACAATTTTCTCTCTCTTACTCCCCGCACACGGGAAGTCGCCGTACTCACCAAAGTTCCTCTTTAGTCTTAGCCGTCAAATCACATCTGGTAACAAAAACGCACGAACAAGGCTCCTTCCCATCCCACTTTTGCTCTATTAAAGTTATTGAGATTTGGATGGGTTTTTATGCTGTTACTTTACAGTTTCAGATACAATCATGAGGGCAGAGTATGGAAAGGGTGGGAAGGGGAAAGAGCAACACAGCAAAGAGGGAGAAGGAAGAAGGGAATTATACTCCCTCCTACTACAGCACTGCTGCGGGGAGGATGGGGCTGGAAGCCCTCCAAGCTACCCTCACAACCAGTACACCTTCCATACACCATTACCTAATGCTAGTATTCAACCTTTTCAGGCCACTATACCCATTACCCAACTACAGAATTGGCTGTACCATCTGACCATGGCCTTGCTCTCCCTTCTCCTGTACGCAGTGATGACCTCCCTCCTCTTCTGCACAACACTGAGATCAGGATCAGCCCAAGAGCCAGTGTACTTTACAGAAGGCATAAGTGAGTGAGAAGTTTGTTGAGGCAGAACACCAGGGCTCAGAATTTTAAGTACCAGTGATTAGGAACCACCATCCTGCTGGGAGATGCTGAGATTATAGCTCTCCCATACTGTTACCTGTGATGCTAAGAAGACACTTTGGGTAAAGACACAAACTGACCAGCTCCTGGAATAGTGGTTAGCCAGCATGAAATGCAATAAAATGGTAGCACAGGGAGATTTGGCTAGCAGCCACCACCAAGGCCAGTTAATGTCACTACTGCATGCCAGGGAGCTCATTAAGCAAGTCTCCAAGACAGCAGGGAGATCTAAGGGCTTACCACTCTGGGAAATGACATTGGGTTGTAATGCACAACTTAGCACTTAGTGTACACAAGGACTGTCATCTTTTAAAATCATGTGAGCTGGTCATGGCTAACCTCTCCACAGAGTGTTTAATGTGGGGTGTACTAGCACATGTTATAACATGGCTTTATTTCCCAGCATTGACTAGCCCAACTTGGAAACAGGTATGGACATTAAATACGAAAAGGGCTGCACACAAACCAAACCAAGATGTGTGACCCTGCATCTCTCCTTCTAATACACCCCCTTCTCAGTGATTGTATTAATTACTGCAGTACAAGGCGACATGAGAGGAGCAGGCCCACAGGGCTGGAAACCTTGTGCTGGAACATCCTTTTTAGGTCACAAACACACAGCCCTGAATATCATGCTGATAAGCAGCTGAGGGAGTGCTGGGGAGATATCAGTCATAATCTCTTATCTCTACTGTTCCCCGAAGACAACCTGAAATTACCCCTCAATCTGCTGTTCCAACACCACTGGCTGGAGCTGGCTCCAGCAGCCACTGGGACCCATTAACTCTTTCATAGTCGTCAGCCCGCCTCTTCTACTACAATATATTCCTATCAGCCACTGTGTGCTACCTTCTGAATAATGGGTAGACAACGGAGGAGGGAGGAGGAGAGCAGAAGGGAAGGAGAAAGAAAGGTAATTGAGGAGATTTGGAGGGTGAGTGAGAAAAAAACATGAGAAGAGGCTCCAACAGTCTGGCAGTGAGACATTACCCTCTCCTACCAAAAACCTCTCCTGGGTGCTTGGTGCTGTGTCTGGATTAGTCTGTGCCTTTACACCAGCCAGCCAGTCATTCCCTCTGTATCCAGAGCACAGCTGGCTTCACTTCCTCCCCAGCTTCTGTTCAACATTATACATTTGTGTATGTACTGTACTCTGCCTTCAGAGAATGGGAGTCACCTACACCTGGGAAGAGCTGGAACACAGATGCAGTTCATACAATGGAGCATGTGTTAGCTCATTTAATATGTGGGCAATTGTTCCCATCAAACTGTGGATGGATGCGAATCATTACACACAAAGACCAGATTTGCTTTTGAATTTACAGCTAACTGGCACTAAAAACACAGTTATGGGTGCACTCTGGAGAGGCCAACTGCAGCCTTTCAATGTCGCCTTGAACAGCCCTGGCACAAAGCGTTCCAACTTTCAAGTGCATATTGGACAGGACAGCAAAGATTACTTATTGACACCTGCATCACACTCCAGGATGTTATAG